AAGATTAGACAGCCCCATAAAACAAAATGAGACTAATGGGGCACAACAGTCCAGGGACAAGGACTAGAAGGCAGGAGGGGACAGGAAAGCTGGTAATGGGGAACCCAAGGTTGAGAAGGGACAGTGTTGACATGTCGTGGGGTTGTTAACCAATGTCATAAAACAATATGTGTACTAATTGTTTAATGAGAAACTATTTGTTCTGTAAACTTCATCTAAAGTACAATAAAAAAATTTAAAAAAAAAAAAGAATCCTGAAAGGACCCAGCAATGAGATGTCTCTGACCAATTTCAATGTCACCTCCACATATTCTAACCTCCATTCCAATCCCTCCCAGAACCCTCAATGACTTCTCCATATATTACTTACACTTCACTTAATCCATAGGTTGATGTGTCTGACTACTATCCCAGAGGGTGCAGGGGCTGTCACAAGTAGTCTCACACATTTCACCTTCTTCCCAGACTCTTCAGATAATACCTGCTTATTCAGGACACCATTTACTAGAAACCCCAGCAGGATATAGTCATCACAGTCATTGTACCTGTTAGAAGTATCATAGCCCAGTTCTACTTGCCCCTCTTTCAACTGATTCTCCCCTTTTTGGTCAGAGCCAGTCAGCACTTGAACTTGGATCACTTTAGCGGGTATGTTCAAAACCACAGTGAGATGGCTGCCAGCCTTAGCCTCCTTGGTGTAAAAGAAATTCTCATCCAGGCTATAGGCATTCATGACAACAGAGCCGTTGGCAACCTGCAGGCTAGTGTAGATGGAGGCAGCAGGGTTGCTGGGATAGTCAATGTCATTTTCCTCAAGCTCTTTATTGTTGAGGCTACTGAATTTGCCATCAGAGGAGGAGTAATTGTCCATGTACTGGAAGAGCGAAGGGAAAAACTGGATTGGTTTTTTCTTCATGAGGAGGTCAAGAAAATGGGAAAGGAGGTAGTCACAGGGCATTTGCTGGTAGAAGAGGAGAAGGAAATGAACAAAGCGGGGAAGGTCTCTAGTGCGAAAGAGTTTTCCAGTGAAGCCCAGCTCAGAGAACTCCAGGGTAACATAAGGTTTGTATTCCCAGGCAGACAGTATAGTAGCAATCTGGGTAACAAATCCGGGGGCACATTTCACGCCATCTTCGATCATCAGGAAATAGTCAGAATGGTTGGTAGCAAAGTTCATGAGGAAGGCATAATCCATGTTCTGCTTGGAGCGGAAGGCTATGTAGGCGGGAGTGTCATTAAACTTTTTCTTAGGGTCCTTTAAGGGAAGATAGTTTTTAAGAGGAGTATTGATCACGACTAGCTGTCTGGCCTGTATATATGGTTTAAAGAGGCTTGAGATGTTGGAGACCATTTGATCAAGCCACTTGGGGTCAGGATCTGCCAGGTGTACCAGAACGATAATGTGCTTCAGCTCAGATGGGGAGGAAGGAAAGAAGAGGGACTGCAGGGTATCCAAGAGGTAGCTTCTTTGGGGATGCTGCACTGAGGAAATCCCAATGGTCAGCAGTTCTAGGAGGAGGGAGAAAAGAGAACATTTATCAGAGCAGTGAGGAAAGTAGCTGCTATGGATGAGGTTATGGTACTCTCCTACATGCCAACTCCGTAAGTTATTTTACATTTTCTCTCCCTCAGGACTGAGTATGGACTAGATTAAAACCAAAACCAAACTGGTTGCCATCAAGTTGTTTCTGACTCGTCAACCCCATGCGTTTCAGAGAGCTTTTGGAAACAGATCGCCAGGCCTTTCTTCTGAGGCACCTCTGGGTGGATTTGAACCATCAATCTTTTGGTTAGTAGCCCAGCACTTAACTATTTGGACCAGATTAGGGTTAGAATCAGGTCACAAGTTGTGATTTTTTTTTTTTTTTAAATCATTAGCTTTGAAAAACTGTTGTGAGGGGTTGGATAAAGGTGACAAACTAAACGTTTATACGTTTAGTTGGTATAGTCTATATCCAACACTTGTCTGTCAGTTTGTCATACTGTGGTGGCTTGCATGTTGCTATGACGTTAGAAGAGAGAGAGAGAGCACCCCAAAATTACATGAGGCATTTTGTATAAGTAGAAGACTCTGGCCCAGGCCTGAGAACAAACCTCATTTTACAACAGTAGTTTTTCTCTCCTGTACTTAACCTTTAGTCATTCCTAAAAACATACCCTGAAGGAAATCTTTTCCTCTGTGGTCAAGCACAAGCAGGATATTACAGCCCCATTCCCAGAGGGTCTTGAAGCACAGCATTATCAAAAAATCTTTATAATGGACCCCCAGAAAAGACATGCTTGAGAAAGCAGTTTAATAGCATGTTCCCAGAAAAGTATGTCCAATCATTGTCCTGTAATCCCCCGTGTACCCCTACCTGCACATACCCCTGCAATCTTAGATAAGTCGCCAATCACTCAAGTCCGCCTATATATTACCCCCAATCACTGACAAGTGCCCACTTTAAGAAAGCCCACCTCTAACTTCCCTAATTGCCTGAAAACCAACCAGAATATTGTAGCCCCCGTTCTTTGTCTAAACCCTATAAAAATGTTTGTGTGATTATCATGCCCCTAGACATTGTGGTTTTATTTTCATGAGCCACATAGTTCCAGGTTTGAACTGTATTTGAATAAACTTTTAATGAACGCCTTTGTTCTACTTTTAAATAGAGCATGAGTTTTCACTACTACAGATGCTCTGCCACTGGTATCTGAAATACCAGCTGGGTCACCCATGGTGGACAGATTTCAGCAGAGCTTCCAGATTAACACTGACTAGGAAGAAAGGCCTGGCCATCTTCTTCTGAAAAGTAGCCAATGAAAACCTTCTGGATCACAACAGAAAATTTTCCGATATAATGCTAGAAGATGAGCCCCCTAGGTTGGACGGCACTCAAAATACACAACAGCCACAACAATGGACTTGAGAATACCCAGGATTGTGAATATGGTGCAGGACTGGGCAATGTTTCATTCTGTTGTACATCTGTCGCCATGAGTCAGAGGCAAACTGATGGCAACTAACAAGTTCCTACAGGAAAGCAGGATAGATGTTTGATTCTTTCCCTTTATTTATCAGCTTTCAAAATAATGGATTGGTTCCCTAGTGGTGAACCAATGGTGACAAAATTTGTCAGGGTTTTTCTTTTTTTTTGGTATCCTTAGGACCTCATGGATTTTATGTGTTTCAAACCATTGAAATTTCACTCTTATTGAAGCTCTAATTGTCCCAGTCTAGCAAGTAGCCTCTTGAAGTACTATTCCTAGCCCTTTTGATACAACTTTAGTGGTTTTTGAAAACTTCCTTGCTATCTGGCATGATGTTTGCTACCTTGGACCTGGAATCAGCCATATTTATAAGGAGACCTGCTTCTTTTTAGTGGAAAAAATGGTATTTAAAGTCCAGAGTCTAGGCACCAGCGATGCTTACTGCAAGTGGATCGTCATTTCTAGGCCTTTGTAGATAAGCTGAAAACTTTTTTTTTTTTTAAAGATAAAAACACATCATGGGTTCATACTGATGTCATACTGATATTTCCAATTCAAAAATATATTCAAACTTAAAGAAAAAAATAGTTTTTCTTTGTTTTCTTTGTTAAGCACTCCTTAAATTAAATGGTTTAACTCTATCCTTTCAGTTCTTAAAGTATTTGGGTCAGAAAAATCTTATTCTGCCTCAAGGTTTTGTTTGCTTGTTTTTCTTTTATCAAACACCACCACAACCTACGGGAATCAAATGGGTGTCATAGTTGGACTTCAGGAGGATACACAGAGCCAAAGTAAAGTTGATGTAGCAAGGAGGACCATACAGTCCTGACTGAGTTGACAGAGAAAAGGCACATGTTCTCCGGCCATTGACTTTAGTAACATACAGCAGGGTTATCAGTGTCAGGGAAAAAAGGGATATCATTGCTGCAAAGGCCATGGATAGATCCAGGCTGGAGCTATAATTGTGGGAGTAATTAGCATATAACTAGTTGCCGTTGAGTTGATTCCGACTCATGGTGACCCTATAGGACAGACTAGAACTGCCTCATAGGGTTTCCAAGGAACACCTGGTGGATATGAACTGCTGACCTTTTGGTTAACAGCCAAGCTCTTAAACACTGTGCCACCAGGGCTCCAATTAGCATATAGGTGGTAATTAAAACTGTGAGCCTGGATGAAGTCACCAAGACAATGAGTTTAGACAAGGACTGAGGCCTGGGGTACCTCAAAGCTTAGAGACGGAGAGAAAAGATAAACTTGCCAAGGAGAATGAAGATCTATCTTTGAGACTGAAGGGAAACCAGAAGAGTGTGGGATCCTGAAAGTAATTGAAGAAAATATTGAAAGGAGAAGAGAGTGATCTATAGGGGCAAATGCTATGATAGGTCAAGTAAGAAGGAGATTGGAAGCTGACCAGTGGATTTAGTAATGTGGAAGCCATTGGCAACGTGGACAAGAGTAATTTTGGTGAAATGGTGAGGGCAAAAACGTGTATTGTTAAGAGCGGTTTTCTTTCTATCAAGATGAGAAAAATTGCAACATGTTTTTGATGGCCCAGGAGAGAGAATTGTCTGAGTGATGTCACTGAGTAGTCAAGAAGAGATGGAAAAGTGGTGAGGCTGCCACCAGAGAGGAGCATGGACAATTCATCTGTACCAAGAGAAGGGGCTGACCGTGAGCTCCAGAGGACAGAGTGGAAAGGTGTCAGAAGGTGAGCAAGGGTGGGAGTTGGGGTCAACAAAGACAATATTTAGAGCCTTATGGGAAGAGTTTGTAGGGGATGAATAAGGCTCTGCGTTTCTGGTAGTAACCTACTTAAACTGGAACAAGTATTTTTTAAAATAGGAATATTTATCCTCTCATAGAAATTTTAAAAATCTCTCATTCCCTCTTCCCAATGTCAGGATGAAGAGCTTATTTGTTTAATTAGATGGCAAATCTGACATCCACTGACCCACCGTTTTTTGCAGGGGCTGGATTGTTATAGGTAATATGCAGATGTAGTTTCTTTGAGCTTCTGCACTCAGTGGGGTGAGAAACAATCACAAATCTTCTAGTCATCTGGATGTTTAAGCACCTGCTCTACAGGTCCAGTTTCCCTACTTTCCAGTTCCTCTTCTTAGATTTGGGACTGGGGACATTGGGACAAGATGGTGGTGTGATGTATTGGAAAGCCGATTACGTCCTTGAATTCAAGCTGCATTCTCCAGTCCAGCTATATATATATATATGTATCCACCAAATGCTGTTGCCATCAAGTTGTATACAGTTATATACATATATATATATACACACACACATATATAATATATATACACATACTACCCATTGCCATTGAGCCAATTTTGATTCATAGCCACTCTATAGGACAGGTAGAACTGCCCCATAGGGCTTCCAAGGAGTGGCTGGTGGATTTGAAGTGCTGACCTTTTGGTTAGCAGCCAAGCTCTTAACCACTGTGCCATCAGGGCTCATACACACACACACACACACACACAAACACACAATCACTGTATACGTATACCTTTATGCATGTGTATACTGTATACCTTTGCAGCAATGGTATAGTGGAGGGGGGTGCACTTAGCTCCCTATCCAGCTCCAATGTATTTCTGAATTGGTTCAAGATCAATAGGGAAGAGAGACATCTGGAAATATCCGACATCAGTGTTAAATGAAATCTAGCCTATACACTTTATGAGATACATATGCACACACACACGACACAAAAATGTTGAAAAGATAGTAATTAAAAGAGATATGATATATTGGGCAAATTCTAGCAAATAGAATGCACTGCTTTCAATGCTATACATGAAATAATAACTTTAGAAACACAAGCAGAAATAGATCTTCCATAATCACACTAAAACAAACAAACAAACTCATTGCTGTCGAGTTGATTCCAACTCATAGAAACCCTATAGGACAGAGTAGAACTGCCCCATGAGTTTCTAATGAGCACCTGGTGGATTTGAACTACCGACCTTTTGGTTAGCAGTACTTAACCACTGTACCACCAAGGTTTCCATAATCACACTGGGGGACATTATTTTACCTCCCCTAGAAACCAACAGATCAAATAGACAAAATTAAAGAATATAGTTTTGAATAACACAGTTAACGAAATTTATTGTGTGTATGTGTGTATAGTGCCTATCAGAGGATACATATTCTTTTCAAATATCCGTAGAAAATATTGGCCATATATTAGACCCATGAAGACAACTTTAATATATTCCTGAAAATAGTAATTTTATAGGCCATATTCTTTGGTTACACAGCAATAGAACTGAAAAATTAATCATGAAAATCTAGCATCCTTTTGGAAATAGAAAATCACTCTTCTAAATATCTCTTGGGTTGAGGAAAGAATCCAAATGGAAATTACCAGCTACTTAGAAATGAATGAAAATAGAACACCATAGACCAAAACCTTTGGGACATGGTTAAGTGGTACTTAGAACAGAAGTAATAGCTTTCAAGGTATTTGTTAGAAAACAACATAGAAAATGAATAAAATGAGAAAACAACCAAAG